ATAAAATGATGGCGTCTTTTCATAAGTTTTCCCCAAAATCTACAGTAGATCTCTAATGAGCAGCAAAATGCTTCCATAGAGAAAATAATTTCAAATTTTACCACCTTTAACATTTCCTCTGATTCTACACCTCATTAAATCTGAAATTTTTCACAGACGAGTCTTGTATTGTAACTTGCTAACGTTTGGTGCTTTGATTTTTGAGTTTCCAGGCCATTAGGGCTGTTCAACAGATGATTTCTCTGTGCATCTCCACTAAATCCTGAAAGATGTTGCCAAAAATCTAAATTGTGACTACTTTCAACTAATATTGGGATTTTATTATGACCTTCTTTTACAATAACAAGCATGTGGATGTTACCAGCTTTTACATTTTTTTTTCGTGACCTTGACAGCTTGTTTGTCCAGAGTCTGTTGTTGCAGGACTTTACTGTAAACTTTGCTTGAAAAAATATCTTATTTCTACCCTTGTGCATGGATCTGCATTCTAGCTGCAACTTTCTCTTCCTTTTCATGCGGCTGCAGACCCACTTTAATTGTATTATCACCACCTAAAGGGCTGGAGGGAAACATTTAGTGTCTTAAACTTAATAATAACTGAATTTTATTGATCTAACATTGGAGAAATTTACTTTGCATTTAACCCATTCCCTTAGGGAGCAGTGGGCTGCCATTGTGGGGCGCCTGGGGAGCAATTGGGGGTTAGGGGTTAATGTTCAGAGAGCCAGAGTGGCAGTCTGTGGGAGTGGGTTACGAATTCAGGATTCCAAGCTCTACGCCCTAACCACTAAGCCGTCACTCCCCTTAATTGTTAAATGTAATGTGACAAAAATGTTGTGCTTCTGCAATTTAAAAATTGCACTTTGAAAAATAGCATTAATAGTGCAAATGAAATTAATTTCCGAGCCCTAATCTCTAAATATAATTTAAATGTCTGCTTTGGGTACTGTAATCCTTATGTTTTAAATGTGACATATGGTTACGGATAAAAACATAACCCAGCTCTGCATGCATATTCATAGACAGAGGCTCTGTCTCTCCATATAGAAATGGTTGTTGGTTCAAATGGAACTAACGCTAGGATGTTTTTAAGCGATTGCACAGCGGCCATCAGTGGTACTGCACTTTAGGAAGCTTTGGTTTGGGCTTCATGTCTGACATCAGAGGAGTGCGCATATCTTTAATGCATCCAGCCTGTGTTTAAAGTTGCTTCGCCGGAATCATGAAGCATAAATCAGAAAATAATGAAATGCAGCTATCCTCCAATGTTTTCCTAAGTCTTCCCGGAAGCCCCTGAGGGAGCTCAGCGAAGAATCACTGCTCTATCTGAAGCTGTTACCGACAGGAGACTGGGAATAATGAGTGTTTGGTGAGGCAGCCAAGAAAACAAAAGCATCTGAGTGGATTTTTGACAGCTTCAGCTACACATTCATTCATGTAATGACCAATAAAAAACATTTTAAGGTTTTTTTAAATTCAGTCACCAAATAAAAGCCTCAAAAAATCCTGGGATGATGATACTGTATACAAGAATCTCTGTAATAAAGAAATGCTTAAAGATGGAATTTTGTGCAAGTAGTTTCCATCACTCTTAAAACTGGAGAAAGAAATCATTTGATAAAAAATTCTATAAAGTAAAAAAATAAGCTTCACAAAGCAGCTCATTAAGGACTATGTAGATATTGAATTATAAACCTGCAACCTTGAATGTGGCCTACATTTTCAACCAAACAGACATAAAATAAAAACGATTCCCTTTCTTTCAAAATAGTCCAAGTAACAGCAAACTTAAAGGCACAGGACAAAAAAAAAAAAAAAAAAAAACAAGGTTTTAGTTGTTTTTTAGCTCTTACTTCTCCTTTATAGAATTCCCACCCTGGTCCTACAGGTTATTGTTAGAGGCTCAGTTTCAAAAAGCCAAAGTTTCATGCTTAACAAACCAATCCTGCTGCTGCACAGGATGAGGCTCGTCACAACTTGCAATCGGATACAAATTAACAGCAACACAACATTATTATCTGATTGCTTAGAGCTTAAGCATAAAAGATAGAGAGGGGAGTGGATAATTGCAGCCAGATGAGAAGCTGAACACTGATCACTGTTCAGGTCCTTAGAAATAAGGCTGATTTCTTTCATTTCTAAATACTTAAAAGAAAAACTATGTGTGATGATTATTAATTATAAAGGATTGGAGCTCCTTTTCAACTGCTAGTTTAAACACATTATCAGTTTCATAAATTGAAATATTGGTTCATTGCGGGAAATGTTTGTTGATCATATAATATTTGTAAATACAGGAAGACAGCTGCAGGCTATCAGTTTATTTATCCCCTGCAATTATATCTCCAAAATGTAAACAGTAACTTGCAAAAGCGTTCACAGTAACTGAACTTTTCTTGTCACTTTGCAAAAACAGACTTCAATGTATCCTATTTGGATTTTATGGAAAAAATTAAGAACATCTTGAGTGCATATTTGCGCTCATGCATTTTTTTGCAGTAATACCAATCAATAAATCCGAAACAGTTGTCTTTAGTATTTGCTTATAGAGAATTAAAGAGAGTCCACCTGTCACTGAGAATTCAGCTTTTCCATGAAGGCCTCAGAAGTTTTTAGGAACATTTAGAGAACAGTCAACATCATGAGGCCCACCTCATGATGTTGAGGATAGAGTTGTGGACCAGTTTAAAGCAGGTTTGGGGCAGAAAGGAGTGGGGTGCATCATAAGAGGTCATTGTTCAATTAATTATCTAAAAAGATTATAAAAGTTAATCTATTTTTTAATATTATCCTCCTTCAAGGTAAGACAAAAGCAGCCATCCTGGCGACTGAAGGGATAGAGGAACTTGGAGATACACAACTCAGTTGGAATTCTTTCACCCCGAATCTGTCCCACATGAAAGATACCATCACTTGAAGAAAACTAAGAATCCTCTAACATGTTAATTACAGCTAAATGCTGTAATTAAAACATTATTTAAATTTAAACATTATTTTACCTGCATACAAACAACTACATATAAAAACTGACAGAGAAAGTATTTCGAGTTTAGGCTAAAAATGAAAGCTAAATAAATACCAGGCAATATATCAGCAACAGCACTACATTTATTATCATTATTAGTAACCAAGAGGAAGGCTTCGGGTCAGAGATTAAACAAGACAGAAATGTTAAAATAACAAGCCACTGTAACTGATCCTGAACATTAATATAGCATGTCCGGATCATGTAGGGTTCCACAGTATAATCATAAAGTTTAGTATCCCAACATAGAAAACGGGTACAATGGAATTAAATGATTTCACTGATCTGAAATAACTTTACACTGCAAAAACTATCTAGAAATAAGTAAAAATTTCTTAAATTAAGTGTATTCACCCTTAATTTGAGCAGGTAAATGAGATAGTTTGCCAATGGAATGAGTAATTTTACTCTTAAAATAAGATAATTAGATAATATGCACTTGAAATAAGACAATGCAATTGTGTTTTCTTATTTTAATATAAATTGTCTTGTTCCACTGGCAAAATGTTTCTTTTACCTTTCTCAATTCAAGAACAAATGCACTTATTTTAAGAAAAAATGACTTATCTAGATTCCGATTTTTTTGCAGTGTACCTACATAAGTGAACGTGGCATAATATGCAGAGCTGAAGCCTCCTTTGAGATGCATCAAGAATGACAAAATATTCAACCCCAGCACGCCTCAAGAGCTCGTTTTTATTTTTCTATGGGGTAAATGGACATGCTGAGTTGTATTAAAGTCAGCTGTGATTCCACATAAATCTTACCATCCACTTTCACAGGAAAAAACACACAAGATCTCCCCCTTCCTATTGAATCACTCCAAAACAAATATAAGTTTGAACTCAAATACAGCATTTAGTTACAGAGTGGCAAGTAAGTAAACACATGATCAGTTCATACATATGACTGTAGCCACCAGCTTTGTTAGCTGTTCAGCCTTCATCTTTTAATCCCCAGAAACCATATTACCACCTCTTAAAGATAAGTTAAACTTCCTTCTGTGACTTTCTTTCTTTCCTCTGTCTCCTTTTGACTTTCTACTTGCAAACTTGAAAGATCATAGTGGCAGCAGTGACGGGCAGCAGGGGGGGTGGCGGGGGGGTCTAGAGCAAGGGGAGCCAGTGAGACTGTGTGGATAGAGACGGATTGATTTCCTCCTCCTCGAGCTCCAGTTCAAAGCAAAGCAACCCAGCAGACTTCAGAAGCGCAGCAGGACCTGACATGTCCCCCAGCCGGCTTGAGCTGCCTGTCTGCGGGCAGGACTTCCCCCGGGGGGCTCCGGGGCCCGGGACAGTCAGGCGGCACCAAGAAAACAATTATGCAGAAAGCGCACAAAGCTGTGCAACATTCACAAGGACACATTTTTAAATATTCGTTAATTAAAAGAAATCTCACAGCCTCAAACAAAAATGTATAACAATAAAAAATAACCTAACAAACCAAGAAACAGATAACATCTAGCTCTATGTTCTCCAATCCTAAATCACAGCCTTGTCACAAAGTCAATGAGGCCTATAAACTATAGAAATAGTGATGTGAAAATTATTCTATCTCCTTGGGCTAAAACTTTTGTACCAACATGCACTCTTCACATACTTTAGAAGTGTTTAGAATGATTGCTTCACACTCAAATAATCACATTCAAATGTTATTTAGAGATGACATTTGTGCAGAAAGAAAAAATAAATAAAAAAGCAAGTAATGTCAGCATAGCCTTTAAACAAAGTCCTTTTTTTTATTATTTCTAAACAGACATAACCTTTAGGTAAATAAACCAGGAGCTATTTTAGGTCTTGGCAGATCAATATTCTCAATGACTTCTAACTTTTCTGCTTTAACATATGAATTGGATTTCTATGAGGTCATCTTACAGTAAAGCACATGTTTATCTGGCATTAAGAAGTGTTGCTCAGGAATTTCCCCCAAGTCTTGCAGCAATCTGTCCGTGCATTCCTCAGAGTGAAGTTCTTACCTGGATCCTCCTGGCTGTCGGTGCAATGCTGCGGTCTCCCTGCTGCTCTGCGCAATCAGCGGACTTGGTGATCGGAGTTCAATCCCCTGCGTGGCGTCGGGTGAGCATCGCCCACGGACTGGCTGTGATCAGGGGAGTCTGAACGCAAGTTCTCAGCCTCCACTGTGGTGCATGTCGGCCTGTCTCCAGGCTCCTCCTTGGTGAGTAAAAAGATTTGTTTTCTCCGCCCTGAAAGAGAAACGGATTAACGTGTGCCAGGTAGACTGCCAATTAACAGGCTGCAGGTTATGACTCGACTCTGCCATCTAGCGTTCATTTGGATGAACTTTTTTTTTTTTTTTTTTTTTTGTTAAGGGATAAAATCCCATTTTCTGCCTCCTTTTAAAAATGTTTTAAACGTGACTGAAGTGGACTAATTTCTACTTGCACGTTTGAAAGATTTTCCTAGAATTTACAGAAAGAAGTTAATAAACCCGCAGCTCAGGTGCATCTCAGTCTAAAATGTACATAACAATTTTAATTCCAGTTTTCCTTCAAGTGCAATGTGGAAAAACAAGAGCAATTTCTATTTTACTGATTCCATTTATCTTTACTCTGTACATGGTTGTTATTACTCTGTTATTACTTGAATATGAACAGGTTGTTGAACTGCGTTACCCAGGACGCTTTAAGCATCACATAAACTGCATCAATGGTATCACTGTCTTCCTCTTGACCAAAGTATAAATAGTTTTGACAATTTGGTTCAGATCAGTGGTATGTGTTGGGTTAGTTAAGGTCAGTAAAATAAAACAATGTCATTAAAGTAGGCTTTGGCTCTTTTGGCAGTGTGAGCAAGTCATGCTAAATAAATAATTTCATCTTCAAGTTGCTTTAATTTGCCCTACTGAACAGATCCACTAACAAAGACTTGCTAAAGCATATCATAGTTCATCCATTAACACTCCCCCCTTGCAAATAAAAGGGTCTATGCACAACTATTAAAATGTTTTATTTCATTTCATACTGTTGTTATTGTGTATTTTTAATATGAAATCTGCCATGTTGCTTTTATTGTTTCACTATTTTCCTTCTATTCCCATAATGTATTTCTGATACATATTAAACTGATTTATTACACATTATATATATTTTATGTTGAATATGTTTGTCTCTGTGCATAACCTTTATACCAAAGCAAAAACCTCACATGTGTAAAACACTACGTGGCAATAAAGCTTTTACTGATTATGAAAAGTTAATCTATTTTTAAATATTATCCTCCTTCAAGGTAAGACAAAAACAGCCATTATGAAGGGATAGAGGAACTTGGAGATACACAAAATTTTTTTCACCCCGAATCTGTTCCACATGAAACATACCATCACTTGAAGAAAAGTAAGAATCCTCTAACATGTTAAATACAGCTAAATGCTATAATTAAAACATTATTGAAATTTAAACATAGTTTTTACCTGCATAAAAACAACTACATATAAAAACCGATAAAGTATTTAGAGTTTAGGCTAAAAATTAAAGCTAAATAAATATGAAGCAATATCTTCAGCAACAGCACTACATTTATTATCATTATTATTAACCAAGAGGAAGGCTTCAGGTCAGAGATTAAACAAGATAGAAATGTTAAAATAACAAGCCACTGTAACTGATCCTGAACATTAATATAACATGTCCGGATCATGTAGGGTTCCACAGTATAATCATAAAGTATAGTATCCCAACATGGAAGACGGCTACAACCAAACACTATCAGATGGAATTGAATGATTTTCACTAATCTGAAATAACTTTACTTCCATAAGTGAATCAAGAATTACAAAATATTCAACCCCAGCATGCCTCAAGAGCTCGTTTTTATTTTTCTATGGGGTAAATGGACATGCTGAGCTGGATTAAAGTCAGCTGTGATTCCACATAAATCTTACCATCCACTTTTACAGGAAAAAACACACAAGATCTCCCCCTTCCTATTGAATCACTCCAAAACAAATATAACTTTGAACTCAAACACAGCGATTCTGGACGGACACAAGCTAATGACGTAACTCTTTATACATACTAAAAGAAACTGGTTTTCTTTTTTCTTTCTTTCTTTTTTGTTTTTTTGTTGTACATCTTCATAAAAAATAATATCTTGTAAAACATAATATCATCAACATAGATTTCAGCAGACTTGTTTTTTTTTTATGAAAAAACAGAAGTCATCAATAGCAGATTTTAACAGCAAAAACAGGTAAATCTGCCCTTTAATATTAAAACACACAATATTTTTACAGGTGTTTGAACAGTGGGCAGCACTGCTGCCTTGCAACAAGAAGGTTCTGGGTTCAATTCCTGGCCTGGGCTCTTTCTGCATGGAGTTTGCATTTTCTCCCTGAGCATGCCTGGCTTCTCTCCGGGTACTCCAGCTTCCTCCCACAGTCCAGAAACATGACTAATTTGAAACAGTGAAATTCTCCTTAGGTATGAATGGTTGTTTGTCTCTGTGTTGCACTGTGACCAGGATGTACCCTGCCTCTTGCCCGTAGACAGCTGGAGATAGGCACCAGCATGATCGTTTCTATAGTTTGTACACTTTTCTTTTTTTTTTTGGGACCCCCCCCCCCCCCCCCCCCCCCCCCCCCCCCCCCCAAAAAAAAAAAAAAAAAGAAAACTGGAGGGGGGGTCCAAAAAGAGTATGGTTAGTACACTTACTACAGTGTATAAAATTGTAAACAACCAATTACTGATTGTAATTTAAGAGCCATTAAGAATGCAGTTCGGTCCCAGTTACTTTATTTGCCTCCACCAGTAATGTTAGATCCTAAGTTTATTACTGTTTATACTCAGCAGACCATGACAGAAAACAAACGGCACCCCAGCTGTGTGTCACAAGATAAACAATAATCACAACATTTCTCATGCATTATCACCATTTAAGTGCTTTGCATGAATCGCCTTCCCATACACTTAAAGACTCACCTTCAGATGATGAATGTCTTTGAAACAGAAGGCGTCAATTAGTCTGACAGAGACTTTGATGTTGCCGGCGGGTGCCTGGTGTCTGAATCGGACTAAAGCTTGGACTTTAGTCTACCTCCTCCTCCTCTCCCTTCACACCACTTCCCCTTTTCTCATCCACAGGAAGAATTAGATAAAAGAGGGGCTTTGAAAAGACTGGGAGTCCTGTAATTACTTACTCTCGCGCTCTCCCACTCTGTCCCCTTCTTCTTTTACTCCAACTATTTGTTGTTATATTTTTTTTTCATTTCTTAAACACTTCTGTTTTTTCCTTCAATCTCCCAGTCTCATTTTTAATCAGGTCCTCATTCTCCGCCCCTCTCCTCTTTTCAGTCTTCTCTCCACTTCTTCCTTTTCCCCCTCCTGTCGAGACTCATTGAAGTCAACCCAGGGCTTCCTGACTAAAGAGGAGGATGAGAGGAGACAAGACAGGATAAAAAGAGAGGATGAGCAGAGAATAAAACAGGAGATGAGTTCCTCTTAAGGAATGTCAGAAGCAAAAACACCTGTATTGGGCTTTGCAAATGATTGTAAAATACAGTGTTTGTATGTAGAAAAAGTTAAAGAAGATTCACAATAAACAGATATAATATAAGACTTTTTAGTGGTTTTTGATGGTCTACTGCTGCCTCTATTCTGCACTGACCAATAGAAAAACTACACTGCTTTGTAAAAGTAGACTGATACATCAGACAATATTTTTGGTTGATATTTTCCTTCTTTTTGTGTCGTTATGGCCCAATATGTGCATGTGTTCACCTGTTACTATGTGCATTCAGCAGCCATGCTTCGAGATAATGTGGAGAACCGCTCGCTCTATCTGCTATCCACTGTTAGTGTTTCGTTTGATTTCTTGATGAATGATTATTTTTGTTAAACGTGAGACTTCTGTAACATTTGGTATCATTTTGTTATAAAATATATATATTTTTTTTAATTAGTTAGATGCAATAATCTGGTTTTCCTTAAATAGAACCAATTTGAACCAATCAGACTGTCTGATCTGGTTGAACTGTCTCTGTAAAAGGCGTTGAGATGGCATGTTGTCATTTAGAGCAATGTAAGTAAATTTTATTGAATTGCAGGAAGAGAAATTAATGGCGGCCTGAAAAATCTTCCCCAGAAGATTGGCAGCCCATTCAGGGGATCAGCTCTACTAATATCAAAATAAACTGTGTCAGCATCTGCTTTAAAATACCTTTATCAGGTGATCTTTACTCACTGGTATTAGCATTTATGACCTTTTTGCTTTTTAACTATTTTTATTTTGAACCAGAAACATTACTGATGCTTTTTCAAATTTCTGCTCACGGTTTTAAAATGGATGGAAATGGATGCAAGGTTTTAAACTGATACAGTAACACCAAAAAGATTAAAAAGGTGTGGCATACATTTGTATTGCGCTCCTTGATCCTATAATTTCCACCTTTGGCTTAGATTAGAGCTGCAGACCTTCTGGGTATGTCACAACAAGCTTTGCACATCATGTTTGCAGTTTTTCTTTGCCCAAAAGGCTTACCTCGTATTTCCAAGTGAAATTACATCTAGACTTGATTGGACCTTTTAACATGTGGATATGAATTGATTTTAAACACAGCTGTGCATGAATTCAAAAGTGCTTTGTGATATAATCAGAGTTTGAGATTTTTATAATCCGCCTCTGCTTTCCTTGGTTCTTATGATAGTGTTTGTACTCAAATTTTATCTGAAATCACTGATGTCTTCATGTAGAAAACCTGAATTAATAATAAATTAGATTAAATACAGAAGAATGATATTGGACAACTGGACTTCTTAATTATTTGCAGGGGATTTTGTCCAGATTTGTTTAAAAAGTCACATCACCTTTCCCAATTTTATCTGGATTTTAAAAATTTGTAAAACTGGTTTCCCATTTCTTCACCACCTCACAGCTATTAGCCGAATTTTGTTGATCTCTCATGTAAAATCACAATTAAATGCCTTGAAATTTGTGGCTGTAACAAAAGAAACAGTGGAATGCTATTAACACTTCTGTAAAGCACCAATAACAATGGAGAATACTTTTCAAAAGCTGGCCCTTGTTTTCCCAGGTACTTAACAGATAGGAATTAAACTTTCTTTTTTTAAATGACAGATAGTGTGTAAAAGGTTTTTCGTGGTTTTATGGCCGACCCAAGATTCAATGGGGCCCTATTGGCAGAATTTGATATTGGGGCCCTTTACTTCT